TCTCTCTCTCTCTCTCTCTCTCTCTCTCTCAGGGTCTGTGTTTAGAAATAATTATGTGCAGATCTTACAGCGTTTGCCAGAGAGCTGGGCTTTCAGGCACTATCTTCCATGAGAAAAAGCAGACACGGGGAAAGGCACCTTGCCTGAGGCCGCGGTGGGAGCTCGGAGCAGAAGCCGCCTCCTATCAGGGGATGCCAGTTGCCTCTGGCATTCCACAACCAGACCTAGCAGAACACAAAAGAGAAACCCACTGAGGAGAGGAAATGTTTTCACACAAAAGCAATTTCCTCCAATTTGTATTTCAGCAACAAATTTGTTTCCACTTTCAGATGCCACTATTCAAAAATGACTTGCTGCCTTTTGACTGTAATGGCATCTTGCTCACGCGGCAGTGATTTGCTTGTAAATATTTATCAATACCGCTTGGCTCTTAGCTCCTTTGCTCTGGCTTTGTTGTCGTGGGCCCCCAGCCTTGCCAGCCTGTCTCAAGCCTTGATCACTGGCGTGGCTTTCACGTGGGCCGCGGTGTTTTCTCGGCAGCTCTATGAGGTGCTATAAACATTTACAACTGAACTGTCAACATGGATAAATAAAGCCCTGCACATTTTTACAGTTCCGTCACCTTTATTATGTTTTTTTTTTTTTTATTCCCTAGCATAGCTTCGGAAGGTTTCCTTTATCTCAGGACACTGAAACCATAGATTAGATTACTTTAAATAAATGACTCACGCCCTGCCACCCTCAAGTCCTGAGAAGTCTCCCATTGCTATGGTTATAAGCGATTGTTGTTTAGTTGGGATCTGGCTTATTAATGACAGAAACAAAGCCTTGATTAATATTTCAGTCTTCCTCTCATTGACCACTACAGCTGTCAGAGGCGAGGGTTCCAAAACTTTAGCAGGCGTCAGAATTCTCTGGAGAATTTGTTAAAACATAGGTGCTTGGATCCCACCTCCAGAACTTACGATTCCAGAGCTCTGGAGTAGGGCCTGGAAATCTGCATTTCTTTCTTTTTTTTTCAGATTTTATTTATTTGAAAGAAAGAAAGAGAGAAGGAGGGAGTGAGGGATGAAGGGAGAAAGAGACAGAGAGAGAGAGAGAGAGAGAAATCTTCCATCTGCTGATTCACTTCCCAGATGGCCACAACAACCAGGGCTGAGCCAGGCTGAAGCCAGGAGCCAGGAGCTTCCTCCAGGTCTCCCATGTGGCTGCAGCGCAAGCACTTGGGCCATCCTCCACTGCTGTTTCAGGCCATTAGCAGGGCGCTGGATCGGAAGTGGAGCAGCTGAGACCCAACCAGGTGTCCATGTGGGATGCAGCTGCTGCAGATGGAGGCTTAACCTTCTACACCATAGTGCCAGCCCCAAGGAAACTTGCACGTCTAACAGCCTCCCTGGTCATGCTGACGTCACTTGGTCCCAGACACTGACTGGGAACTTTGTCCTGGAGAATTGAGAACACTTAACTTTTCTTTACTTTTCGGTTTGGATTTCCAGAAAGCGGTCACCTCATTTTTGTAACCTCGGCTGTGAGCATACTGAATGAAGCTTTGTCTTCGCTGAGGGCAGGGCTGGCCTCAGGCAAAAGTGGAGAAGTGGCCGGTGCTGCGGCTCACTAGGCTAATCCTCCGTCTGCAGCGCCGGCACCCCGGGTTCTAGTCCCGGTTGGGGTGCCAGATTCTGTCCTGGTTGCTCCTCTTCCAGTCCAGCTCTCTGCTGTGGCCCAGGAAGGCAGTGGAGGATGGCCCAAGTGCTTGGACCCTGCACCCTGCATGGGAGACCAGGAGGAAGCACCTGGCTCCTGGTGCCGGCCATAGCGGCCATTTGGGGGGTGTGAACCAACGGAAGGAAGACTTTTCTCCCTGTCTCTCTCTCTCTCTCTCTCTCTCACTGTCTATAACTCTACCTGTCAAAAAAAAAAAAAAAAAAAGAAGTGGAGATGTGGTTCTTGAATACTTGGACAAACACGCAGCACCACTGGCAGCGGAACCCATGTCAGTTCATCACCTGTGCTCCCTCCATATCGCACCTCTTTCAGCTCTCGCTATGCCACCTTCTAGACCTCATCTGGGGTTGGAGCTTGATCTAGTAGTTTAGCAGTTAGGTCACCAAGTCCCGGCCTTGCTTCTGATTCTAGCTTCCTGCTAATGCACAGCCTTGGAGCCAGGTGGCCATTCATCCAGCGGGGTTCCTGTCGCTCCGGGAGACCCAGAATGAGTTTCCTGCTTTAACCTAATCTATTTCAGCCTTTGTGGGTATTTGGAGAATGAACGAGTAGATGGGAGCACTCCCTCTCTCTCTTTCTCTCTCTCTCTGTCTCCCAAATAAATAAATACAATTTAAACTTCAACTGCAGGGATATGTTAATTAGGAGAACTGACTTCTCTATCTTACCCTCCCTGGCCCTGTTTGAGAAACAAATTCCTACCCACTCTTCCAGATCAGTCAAAACCTTTCCCCTCATTGTATGTTCGAAGAACGTTCAGCCTTCTCCATACTCCGAGAGCATTTTGATCCCGTATCTCACTTAGCACAAGGTCCTCCTGCACTTTTTTTTTTTAATGTGTTTATCCCTATCTGACGTCTGGGGCTCTTCTAAACAAGCAGTGTCTCATTTCACTTCTCTCACTGTAGGGTGTCACTCCATAAATTCAAAAAGCAAGGCAAGAAGATGGGGTGAAGAAAGAGGGGTGGAAGTCCAGCTCCCAAGACAAGGTGGACTTGTGATGCAGAGGAGATGTTGTCATTGGGCCACTGGGGAAGGCAGTGAGGCTGTTACCCATGGCAACACTCCAAAAGATTGATCTTTACCATAACGAAAATGCAATCAGCAACAAGAACAACCTGCAGGCCAAGGACATGGATCCAGCCCAGTGACAGAGAGAAAGTGTACAGTGCACCCTCTTGGTTCTCATGGCTCTTAGGCAGGGTGGTGCTAGCTCCTGGAAGTGGCAAGGGAGGCATCTATTGGAGAATGAAGGACTTTGAGACCCAGGAAGGATATGGAATAAGGAAAAATAAAGGCGGGAATAATTTGCATTTGGAATGACTTATCACTGACTCACTGTATACCAAGCACGGTTCTAGTCAACAGTACTGATGAGTTCAACTGAGGGTGGGCAATAAATTGCAATAACATGGGCAATAATTTGAACATGGGCAATAAATTTAAAAAATTTGAGCAGTGGTTCGAGACCCAGCTGCTCCACTTCTGATTCAGTTCCCTGCTAATGGCCTGGGAAAAACAGTGCAAGAAGGTCCAAGTGCTTGGGTCCCCACACCCAATTAGGAGACCTGGAAGAAGCTCACAGCTTCAGCCTAGCCCAGCACCACATGTTGTGACCATCTGGGAAGTGAACCAATAGATGGAAGACCTCTATCTCTCTCTCCCTGTTTCTCTGTAACTCTGCCTTTCAGGTAAATAAATAAGTAAATATTTCTAAAAATAATAAGATAAACAGAAACCACAGATGCCGTGATTTATCTCTAATATCATGTAATATATGAATGATGCACAAACTTGTAGCATGTAGTATATGTCTTTTTGCTGTTTCCCAAAATATCCTAAAATATTCCACTCATATAGTCACTTTTCAAGACAGTTGGTTGTTTTTAAAATATTTATTTATTTATTTATTTATTTGAAAAGCAGAGTTACAGAGAAAGAGGGAGACACAGAGAGAGATCTTCCATCTGTAGGTTCATTCCCCAATACCTGCAACAGCTGTGTCTGGGTCAGGCTGAAGCCAGGAGTGAGAAGCTTCATCTGGGTCTGCCATGTGGGTACAGGGGTCCAAGGACTTGGGACATCTTTTACTGCTTTCCCAGATGCAGCAGCAGGGAGCTGGATCAGAAGTGGAGCAGCCAGGACCCAAACCCATGCCATTCTGGAATGCTGGCACTGCACCAGAGCGCCAGCCCCATTTTGTTTGTTTCTTACAAAGTCAAACATAGTCTTACCACACAATCCAACAGTCACACTCATTTATCAGAATGAGCTGGCAGTTTATGTCAAGATAAAACCTGTATGTGAATGGTTATAGAAGCTCTATTTATAAGTGCTAAAAATTGGAAACGACCAAGCATTCTTCAGTAGGTAATTGAACAAGCAAGCAATATGCAGGAATGAGCAATCAAGCCCCCCAAACACATGGAAGAACCTTAAATAGATACTGCTAATGGCCAGAAAACAATCTGAAAAGATTGCATCTTGTATGACTCTAACTGTATGACATTCTGGAAAACCCAAAGCTAGAGAAACAGAGGAAGAATGAGTGGGGGGTGAGTCCTGGTTCAGGAAGAGGGAGGGATAAATAGGTAGATCATAAGCGACTTTTAGGGCTGTGAAACTCTTCTGTGCCATACAGCTATGGTGGACACACGTCATTACATAGTTGTCAAAATCCACAGGATGAGACCAGGCATTTGGTGTCATGATTAAGATCTGCTTTGGATGCCCGCATCCCATGTAGATTGCTGGGTTTGTGTCTCAGCTCAGCCCCTGATTCCAGCTTTCTGCTAATGCACACCTTGGAGGCAGCAAGTGATGACCGAAGTAGTTGGGTCCTGTTGCCTATGTGGGAAACTCACATTTAGTTTCCAGCTCCTGGCTTCAGCCTGGCCCAGCCCCACTTGTTGGAGGGCATTTGGAGAGTGAACCAGTGGACAGGAGGAGATTTTTGTCTGTATGTCTGCCTCCCTGTCCCTCTGTCTTTCAAATAAATAAATGAATAAGTCCCAAAAATGTACACACGAAGACGGAAGCCTTATACAAACTGTGGACTTTAGCTATTGCAATCATGTTGGTTCATCAGTTGCAGTAACTATACCCCAATAATGCGAAATGCTAATAATTAATAGAGATGGGAACTTTCTGTATTTTGCCCAATTTCTCTTTGAAATTAAAACAAGTAAAATATATCAGAAAAAAAGTAGTTCCCTTATTTTATGTCATTCCATTCTCAAGACATCTAGAGACATTCTTTTCCGAGTGCTAAATACCTTGTTTTTTCAAACGCCGTCTTGTCACTGTGTGGCTATCAGTGGGCAGAATGTACTTCATTTCCTTTCCCTCAAGTGAAAGTAGATAATATTTCATGCTGGTTCCGAGAAGACTTAGGAGGAAGTCAAGTCTGTGAAAGAACAAAAATTAGTGAATGAATTTATTAGAAATCAAAGGGAGGGGAATGTGCCGGAAATTCACACTGACTGTCAGAGTGAGAGGTTTTGGCTTATGTAAATTCAATCTTGGCAGGTACACGTTAGGGACTTTCGGACTGGCAAATGTTGCAGAATGTTCTAACTTCTTCAGTCGGATGAAGATATGGGTACAGAACATAATAGGATGCTTTTTTTCCTTAATAAATTCCCACTGACTAGCGCTTTGAAAGACTAGTCTCAAGAGGATTCTGGAAATCGATTTCAAAGACTACTGAGGTTTCTGTGCTGTAGTTCTTGGGTTTTTAAGGCTCTGATTGCTGGCCACGTGGAAGCCTCTTGGATTTGCAGAGGTGCTCTTCGTGTATTATTTAATTTGATGTTCACGAAAATCCTAGGAAAAGTAAACATTCTTGCTTAAGTTTTCTCCTAGCGTCTCTCTCACAATCATAATGTTGGAAGGTGGGTCAGCAGCCCTTCAAAATCAAAGTGAAGCTGATGATCCCCCCTAGGCCTACTAGCACTAATGTCAGCTCAAGATCTTTACCAAAATTTCTTAAAATGAAACATCCTTCTTTCTCTGTCTTCAGTGAAAATCGATTCTACCTGTCAAGTGCTTGAATGAAAAAACGTATTCCTGGGCTGGCATTGTTGTGCGGAGGCTGAACTGCCACTTGCAACGCCAGCATCTCATGTTATAGTCCCGGTTCTAGAGCAGGTTAACTCCACTTCCAGGCCAGCTTCCTGCCAGTGCACCTGGGAGAAAACAGATGATTACCCAAGTACTTGGGCCTCTGCCACTCATGTGGGAGACCAGGATGGAACTCCTGGCTCCTGGCTTGGACCTGGCCCAGACCTGGCCGTTGCAGACATCTGGAAAGTGAATCAACAGTAGGAAGATCTTTCTTGTCTCTCCCTCTGCCTTACTCTGTCTTCCAAATAAGTAAATAGATGTTAAAATAAGATTAAAAAGCATTCCAAATAGATTATAACTGGAGATGAAAATAATATTTGACAAAAGTAAAAATAAATAAACACATCATCAGAATGAGGCACGGAGCCCCTCATACCACATGGTGCTTTCTCTTTGTGCTGTTTTCTGTTTTGCACATAAATAGGAATGCATGTCATTCTGCATATCCACGTGTCTTTGTGTGTGTTCTCCATTTTGGGGCCTCTCTTGAGTCAGTGGCTCAGGAATTGTAGCAACTGAAACACGGGTTAAACTTCCCTGTAGGCGCCTAGAGAAATCGTACATTCAGAGTTCATTTCCGGAAACGCTGCTGGACAATATCTTTTCTGTTTTGACCACCCTGTGGAATCGCTGTGAGAATTCCACGGGCACAAGTGACTCCTACAGAGTTGGGGAGACCACACCAATGAGACACTCTTTGCAAGTGATCACTCGATCCGTACATGCCTCCAGAATCAGTAATTCTCCAGAGGGAACTCAACCTGTGTCTTCCAGAGTGAATTTTGGCTTATAATTGCTTGAGTTTAGGTTTAGCCCCAGACTGCACAGACTTGGAGTCAAACCACTCTGATTCCAATCTTGAATATATGAGGTCGCTTTAAGGAATAAGCGCATACCCACACATTCATAATTATACCTGCACATTAAAAGCCCAGCCACTGTTAGTATAAAATGTAACATTTTTGCAATTAAAGATGATATGCTTTAGAAATACAATCCTTACATTTTTTTTTCCTCTCGACAATTCTCATAAAGAGAAATCACAACATTGGCTCCTTCCCTCTTCTTTCTATACCAGACACTGTTTTCTGTGCTGTTTTGCATGTGAAAACTGTCAAATAAAATGGAATAATCCATGAGTGAAAATATTATAATGTCACTAACTATGTTATTATCTAATATTTTGTTAATAAGCAAGTTGTCTATAGTGTATTAAAACCATAAAACTACTTTCTTTTAAGCTTAAAGGTTGGTTGTTTAGAATGCAATTCTCTAGCAAGTGTCTCTTTAAATATTCAAGGATACTCTGCACCTCCTGCCTTCCAGACAGGCTGGAATCTCCTGGCGCCATCTTGTGCTTACAAGGCTGGGTTGGTGCATTCTCTCGTTTCCTTAGGGAACCCTGAAATCCGCTATGGCTCCTTCTGGAGAAAGCTGCTTGCCTGTGAAAGGAAAACTCCTCTCAAAGCCAGGAATTGTACCTGTGGGAAAGTGAGGTTCTCAGAGAAATTGTTGGGGAGGGGCTTCTGATGTAGGCAAGAGAGTATTAATTATTTTCCTCCAGGCTCTTGTCATGCACAATGATAAGCTTTCTTTTTTTAAAGATTTATTTATTTATTTGAAAGTCAGATTTACACAGAGAGGAGAGGCAGAGAGAGAGAGAGAGAGGTCTTCCATCTGATGGTTCACTCTCCAACTGGCTACAACGGCTGCAGCTGCGCCGATCCGAAGCCAGGAGCTAGGAGCTTCCTCCAGGTCTCCTACGTGGGTGCAGGGGCCCAAGGACTTGGACCATCCTCCACTGCTTTCCCAGGCCACAGCAGAGAGCTGGATCAGAAGAGGAGCAGCCGGGACTAGAACTGGCACCCATATGGGATGCCAGCGCTTCAGGCCAGGGTGTTAACCCGCTGTACCACAGCGCCAGCCCCAACCAACATTTTTAGTGCTGACACATAGAAGGTGCCCCAAGTGATAACATCTATTGAAAATGTGAGAAAGTGAACAGATATACACACATGAGCATGGGCTGTCCCACACAGAGAAATGCCCCTCACGAGTAGGCAGTGGGCCAGAAGGTTGCCTACAAGTAGGAGCGCTGGGGAGGAGGGACAGGTGAGTGAGAGAGAACCCAGAATCCCTTCCGCTGAGGTCTATGGAGCAAGAGAGGAAGCACACTCCTCTCCCCGTGGTGGCCTCCTCTGTGAGACTGCCGGGTGCCGGTACAGGCATGACGACACCTGGGAGCTAAACGGCACCTCCACAAGTTCCACCTGGAGTTCACCATCCGTATTTTCATGGCATCCTCCTGAGGCCCCAGAGGAAGCAGATGCATCCCAGGAACCGGGACTTTTTGATTGACAACTAGGAGGATACAGTACAGGTGGGGACTGTGACCTCCAGCTCTGCAGACCTAGCTAGCTGCCTACCTATTCCCATATGGCTACCAAATGAAATCGTTACTCAATATTTCAGTAAATGCCTGTGTGCAGAGACAAATAAGAACACAGTCCTCCACTTAGTGAGTGGACCCCAAAACACTCACAGAGAAGTGGAATTAAAGCATAAGTTTATATTACTGCAACAAAACCTTGGAATCTATGAAAACACTTTTTTTCCATAAGACACCTTTTCTGTGAAGTTTTAAGAGATATCTTGCGGCCGGCGCCGCGGCTCAACAGGCTAATCCTCCGCCTTGCAGCGCTGGCACACCGGGTTCTAGTCCCGGTCGGGGCGCCGGATTCTGTCCCGGTTGCCCCTCTTCCAGGCCAGCTCTCTGCTGTAGCCAGGGAGTGCAGTGGAGGATGGCCCAAGTGCGTGGGCCCTGCACCCCATGGGAGACCAGGAGAAGCACCTGGCTCCTGCCTTCAGATCAGCGCGGTGCGCCTGCTGCAGAGGCCATTGAGGGGGGTGAACCAATGGAAAAAGGAAGACTTTCTCTCTGTCTCTCTCTCTCACTGTCCACTCTGCCTGTCAAAAAAAAAAAAAAAAAAAAAAAAAAAAGAAGTCATATACTTCAAAAAAAAAAAAAAAGAGAGATATCTTGCACATTCCCTAATGAATAATACTGAGAAGACTTCTTTAGACATGAGAGGGGAAAACGCTCCAGCACACACAACTAAAACCCCATGCAACGGTTTGATAAATTTCAATCTTTCTTCCCCTGATTTTTGATCTTTGCTTTTCTGCAGTACCATTTATGTCCTGAAGGAAACTCCTCTGTGGTCTCCCTGAGGGTGAAAGAAGCTTCGCAGCTGAGTCCAGGGCCCAGGCTTCTGCCTGGGAGTATCCGGAGGCCCCCTTGCCTGCTTTCCCTGGCCCCTCCCCCCGGGGCTCACCTGAGCCTAAGTTGTCACCTTGGAGGCTGGAAGGGCAAATCCCTGGTACAATTGTTGTCACCCTTCATCCCGACCCACACCGTGACTGGGGTTCTCACCCATCAGTTGAGGCACTGGATTGCAGTATAGGAGCCTACAACCCTCCATGATTTTATTTTTTTAGTATTTTTTTATTTGACAAGTAGAGTTATAGACAGTGAGAGAGAGAGAGAGAGAGAGAGAGAGGTCTTCCTTCTGTTGGTTCACCCCCCAAATGGCCTCTACGGTCGGCGCTGCACCGACCCGAAGCCAGGAGCCAGGTGCTTCTCCTGGTCTCCCATGCGGGTGCAAGGCCCAAGGAGTTGGGCCATCCTCCACTGCACTCCCGGGCCACAGCAGAGAGCTGGACAGGAAGAGGAGCAACCAAGACAGAACCAGCGCCCCAACCGGAACTAGAAGCCGGGATGCCGGTGCCGCAGGCAGAGGATTAACCAAGTGAGCCACGGCGCCGCCCCCGCTCCGTGATTATTCAGCACAGTCCCTGAAAGGGGCTGGGCAGGGCTTCTGCCATGGCCATTACTTCCCAATCACACCAAGCAGCAAGAAGATCTTTGGGGGATGAAGTGGCCTTTAACTCCTTGCATTAGAAAAAGTAGAGTAATTTAATTTGCCTCCATGATTTTGAGAGACGGAATTTACGGCAGTAACACCAGCAAGCAAATAAAATAGAGACAAGATTACACTTATTCCAACTGCCCCCTAGAATTGACAGTGCAGTCTCCATCAGAAATCGCTGTCAATAGAAGAAATAATCTATGAGGAAGAGAAGCGGCATGGTTCACGGTATCTGTCTTTAAATTAAACTTCTGCTCTGAGAGGCACAGCTCCTACTTTGTGCCACTATAAGAGCATCAAGTACAGGGTGAGGAAGAGCGCTCTACAGATGAAGGTTGCTAAAAGCGGGAGTGGGTTCTCTGTCCCAGGAGGCTCATGCTGCAGTTACCTGTCTACCCAGGGTGATAGAAGGTAGTGGGTGAGGCCTCAAACTTAGTTAGGTTAGAATAATGGAGTAAACTGTGTCTACATTTACTTTCAATTTTGATCTTTTCTGATGTTTTAGAAAGGTGATCACAGGTGTAACGAACTCTGACTAGAACAAATTAAAAGCAAAATGATGAATTTCCCAGGACCAGGAGTTAGAGAAGGCAAGAAAAGCTTAGGGAACAAGTGTGTGTCATTTTAATAGTGGTGCTTACCTGTTAAGAAGTGGGTTGAGTGGTGTTTTATTGACAGTTGTTCACTCTCTGGAAACTGAATTAAATGAGAGAATGGAAGTTAAAAATTGGACAGCTACAGAATCCCATCAATTTTTGAAAGGATGTTGTCTCATATAAACCTACTTGTGTATACATACATATAAAGTAGCACAAGATACTGTCTCACATAAACCTATGTGTACATACGTACATATAAAGTAACTAGTGGCTCAAGCTAGCAGTATGAGCCACACCAATAGGTTGACCCGCTTAGTGGTTACTTTGTTTCTAGAACCTTCCCTGAGAACATTCTGGAAGACATTTTAGAAGCTAGGACAGATCCACTTGAGGTAAGGGACTTAAACTGTGTGCTTATTTGTCTCATATCTGAAAATTTATAAAGCGCCTCCTTCTCCTCTGTGAGAGAGAAGCTGTGGGAAGATTTTATGAGCACAGCCAGGTTAGAGCCCCTCTATTCTCACTGACTTGTTCCTCAATAGCATTAAAAGGACTTCCGGGCTTGTGTCTGCAGAGCTGCCTTTGCTAAGGAGACAGAACAGAATTCAGGCCCACTGCCCCAGTTACTGGGTCTTCTCGTAGGTCTGTAACACTCACAAGGCTCTTTATATCTAAGGCAGCTATTTTGTTCACATGCATCAGTTACACAAACAGCTTTTTCTGCTGGGTCCAGACAGAAGATTCCAGCTGGTTACCTGACTGGGTCTTGCTGATGGTAAGAGCGAAAGTCAAGCTAGACAACAGTCATGTTAACTTTTGTGAAGAACACATGGCCTGAGCAGGCCATCTCCACCAAACACCTTCCTAGGAGTTCTCCATGTGCCACAGGAATTTTAGCTTTTGTTTCTGACAAGTAAGCATCTGCTTGTCTGTGAGAATATTATACATTTCTGTGACTCAAGTCGATTCATCATGGGCCACTTTGCAATAAGAATTGAACCAGATGTTGTCTAAACATCTGGTTGTTTAAAGCTGGACTCACCCATCAGAATTCCCAGGTATTCAGCTTCCTCTGGAAGATCTTCCAAGTGCAACCTAAATTCTCGCCATAATTTCAGGTTAGTTGCAAAATAAACAAGTTACCTAAATGGTTTCTAGAGAGTGTTTGACTCAAAGCAGACTGGACTTGGGCTGTTTTATGATTGACAATAATCCTAATAAGGCACTATTGTATTTGTACAATTATAAATCCATTGATATATGGGTTCAACAACCCAGAAGGCCATTTGTATTTGTAGATAAATACCCATCAATGAGACGTCTTCATCCAGTTTTCACTTTAGTGGTGATCAGTAACCTTTCTTACTCACACTATGGAGGAAGACATAATGAACCAGCCGATGTGCTCAAACAAGGAAAATCTGAAATGTAGGGACTTCCAAAATGCAAAGAAAATGTAGTGAGTGTCTAAGGATGAGGGCTCTCCGTGGGCATCATTTGTAGTTTTAGTAAAAAAAAAAAAATCCCAAAGTTCAACGCTCTTCATGCCCTTCGTCCAATGTCCCGATTCCCCCTGGATGACATTCAGACTTCCAGGGGGTTCACGTTCACCTAATGTACTCTCTTCTGATGTTTTACTTCTAAATCGTTCTCTTGAGGGTTCTCGTGGTCACTCATTTTTCTCATTAACTTCCCATCACATTTGTAAAACGCATCACAGGTTATTTGGGGGACTTTTTCCCTGGTAATGTCTTACTTGCACACAGTATATTCTCAAAGAAATACATTTTCCTTACGTAGGGCTAGCAGGGTATTTGCCTATTCTGCCAGGCCAATTCGGGTTGGATTGGGTCCAGGGATTTCTAAGTGCTCGTGAGCTCTGAACGTCTATTCCTTGTTCCTATGGCTAGGGAGGTTGTCAGGTCATTCAGCAGCTCCAAAACGATGATGTAAAGCAAGACAAACCGCTGATGTGGTGCAGTGGGTGGTGGAAGGCCCTCACCTAGCAGACTGACATGTAAAACTTGACAGGGACGCTCATTCCTGCAGCAGCCAAATAAACAGTTTTCTCATAGAGAAGGCAGAGCAATTTTTTGATTAGCCCACATGGCTTGTCCTCTTGCATAGGAAACCGCTACAGACAACACTTTCCCAGATCTCTCCCTCCAAGTTCCCACTATCGTCAATGCTCCCGATAGCAGCTGAGATTTTTGAACCCACACATCCGGCTTGTATCTTAATTGCACTAACGTCTTGTCACAAACAGCCAATGCAGTGATGTATGGAAAAACTTGAGCTGATTTTTCTCTCCTCCTCCGAGCTTCCCCCACCCCCATCTCAGCCCACTTCTCTCTTTTCCCCATTCCCAACCTCACAGAGCCGGAAAGTCTTTTAGCATTCCTGAAAAGTTACATAAGACACCAGAAGCAGATAACATTGTATGTTTCCAGTTTAAAATGCAGAGTGTTTATGCCTGGAAGGAGAGAAGAATGAAAGAATGTCCCCTCCAGGGATCATATCTGAAATGATTGGGAAGCTGACAAATGCTTCCCTTACAGTAAAAATAATGTTTGAGGGTTTTAAATATTCTTTACTGCTTGGTAAAGGGCAAGTTCAGTGTTATTTCAGAGTAGATAGTATGCACCTAAGAGTCCATAATCCAGCCAGCCAGGCTGAGACGTCCAAGTTTCATTACAGGCAGGGTTGGAGGGTATACAGTTGTAGGTGTAAGATCAGTATCTTCATCAGAGATTCAGTCTTCTTTTAATGGTATTAAAAGAAAGGCATGGAGGATGCCAGTCTCATCCTGGTACCAAAGGAAGGGAAACCAAATTCTACTGTTGGCAGCTGGTAGCCCTCTGATGCATCACTTGCTGGCATGCAGAGTTAGGTCTAACACCCAGAGGTTCCTATTCCATTGGCCTCTCCCACTGGGCATGGGACAAGCCTCCTCTGCAGAGACTGACGATGCCATAATTTAGAAGACATCATTTGGTTGGAAAATGGAAACAGCGAAAAGGAAGGCTCTGTGTGAAAAAGGATTTGCCCCATCAACACATCACCCAGAAAGGGTTCTTTCGAGGATCGTGACCTTGTTCTTCCCTTCATCAGGGTCACCAGCAGCCCCTTGGCTGCTTGCAACACACTGAAGGTCATTTCAGGGCTGCTCGTTTTCTGGGAAGCTTCCATTGTTTGTGGTCTGGCTTCAGAGTGGGAAGTTTCACCTGAGCGCAAGCGGGCAGGGGCGGGGGGGGGGGGGGTGCGGGCTGGTCGGTCAAGGCCCTCACCTCTAAAGCAGGTGTTGTAGGAAAGCTTGTGGACTCCACGCATCCAGATAAGCAGCAGCCAAAGGGACAAGTCCTGAGTGTCCCTGCTCATTCCCTGCGAAGGGTCAGGAACTTGAGAAATGAAGTGGACGAAGGAGACATGAACAGCACCAAAAAGTCTAGAACAGTTTCTTCACCCTCCTCCATTGGTCTTGATGTTTATCATTTTTCTTGCCTTCTTGCCAGGTTCGTTTGTTTGTTTGTTTGTTTGTTTATTTATTCGTGATGGAGCTGAGCTGCGTGAGGACTCAGAGAGTGCGGAACACAACAGAACTAAAAGGCAGAGCCTACCCCAGAGCCTGCTCCCAGCAATGACCCTTCTTCCCTCTAAACACTGTCTCAGCCCACTCTGCATCACTGATGACATCTCTTCTTGCACACATTTATCACAAGATGATGGGATCGCCTACTAAGAACTAGGCACCATACTAAGCCCTGAGACAAGAAGACAGGCAGTTACAATACAACCCATAATTTCTATGGTAGTCAGGAGGAAGCAACCGAACCATCTTGAGGGACAGTCCATTGTAATGGCCTTGAAGCTATGCCCTTGGGTACCTGGTAACCTGGAAAGATCTTCACCATGGTGCAATCCTTAACCTCTGTGAACTTTGACTTCCTCATCTGTGACATGGAGACAAAAATAGTATTTCCAGGGGCTGGCGTTGTGATATAGTAGGCTAAGCCTCTGCCTGTGGCACGGGCATCCCATATGGGCACTGGTTTGTGTCCCAGCTGCTCCTCCTTTGATCCAGCTCTCTGCTATGGGCTGGGAAAGCAGTGGAAGATGGCCCAAGTCCTTGGGCCCCTGCACCTGCGTGGGAGATCACAGGGGAAGCTCCTGGCTCCTGGCTTCAGATCAGCCTAGCTCCAGTCATTGCAGCCATTCGGGGAGTGAACCAGCAGATGGAAAACCTTTCTCTCTGTCTCTCCCTCCCTCTGTCTGTAACTCTACCTCTCAAATAAATAAATAAATAAATAAAACTTAAAAAAAAGTTAGTGGTCCCAATGGAGCAGTTTTTGAATTTCATCCCAGCTAACATCACTGTTTTTTCTCCTATTAACTCAACATTTGGCCAGAAATTTCAGTGAGATCATCCGTTTGTTCCCTTGAGTGCATAGACCATGCCCCTCTCCCCAGTACTGAGTGAGTTACATAATCATAACAGGGATGAAAGGTGAGATGACCTTTTTCATTTGTTAGGACTGATTCTCCCTGGGGCCTTGATCACTCGGGAGGATCACATTGGACATAGATGTGACGTTCCTATCCAGGTAGATGGTACCGAGTTCAGTGACTAAAACCCTAGGCAGACTGTAGCTCACTGAGTCTCTAGTTATTCTTAGTGTGTAATAATATGAGAATTCAAGTTTTAATGTTTTATGTCCAGACAATGATGGAAAAAGGGCAAAATCTAGTATTGCATTTATAGATAAGACCTGGTATCCAGGGGCCAGTGCTGTGGCGTAGAGAGTTAAGCTGCCGCCTACAGTGCTGATATCCCATATGGATCAGATCCAGCTCTCTGCTATGGCCTGGGAAAGCAGTGGAAATTGGTCCAAGTGCTTGGGCCCCTGTACCCATGTGGGAGACCCAGAAGAAGCTCCTAGATCCTGGCTTCAGATCAGCACAGCTCTGGCTACTGTGGCCAATTGGGGAGTGAACCAGCAGATGGAAGACCCCTCTCTCTCTCTTTCTCTGCCTCTCCTTCTCTCTCTGTGTAACTCTGACTTTCAA